ACATATCTCGCTACAATAAAAAATCTTGCAACTTAAACATATAAAACTCTCCTAATTTCAAGCAACATACATTAACAACTCATATCAAATACAAAACTAATAAATAATAAAAATAGGGGTGTTACACTTTCTCTCTCCACGACCAAAATATTTAATTACAATAATAAATAAAATCAATCAGTTATTGATTCAATAAGAAAATGTAACAAGTTAATTTAGCTAATTTGCCCGTTAAATTAGCTTATTACATTTTAACAATCAATTTCATTTTTTTATTAATTTTTACGACTAATTCTTTTTATTGCTAATTTAATTGTTAATTTTTGTTGTCTATTTTTATTATTATTATTATTATAAGTAGCTAGAATAGTTGCAAATTATCACCAATTTTATTTATCACTAATCAAATATTATTTAACAGCGATTCTCGGTATCAACACATGACGTTTTTTAAATTAAGCACCTAACAATGTTAGTAAAAAAAAATTAAAAGAAAAGATGACAAATTAATAAATTAACTTATTGCAAAAAAATTGTATTGAAAACTTTCAATTTTCTTTAAAGTTAATTATCCTTGATTAGTGTACTATAATATCACTTCTTAAAATGTAATCTTTGTTGGCTTTTGTTTTTTCTCTCTTCTCTCTCCTTATGAAATTGGAGTATCGTGCTTTATTAGGGTTTCCTCAAAACCCTAGCTAATTTTAATCTTGCAGTAGATCCATCCAAGACCTGCTAGGTATGAACCTTAGTATTTCTTGAAAAGTTCAAAATTCTGCGGTTCAATTTCCAACTGATAATACTCCTTATGGACATTGATACTCCTGCTAAAACAATTAGTCCTCTAGTTAGCCTCTTCCTTAACATCCTAAAGATGCTAACTAAATCTTTCTTCTTATTGTCCATGAACTGCTTCTTTTGGAATCACAGGGGGCAAGTGGTAAATCTTTTTACAAACTTATTTATGACCTTATTGCAATTTATAATTTAGATTTTATTGCTCAACTTGAGCCTATGATTAGTTTTGTAAAAGCTGATAAGGTTATCAAGAAAATTTATTTTGGTAAATATGAAAAAATAGATGTTATTAGGTACTCTGGTGGCATTCGATGCCTCTGGAATAGTAATAAAATATTTGTTTTTCTTATTACTAAATCAAAATTTTTCATTCACCTTAAAGTTAAAACCTGAGATGAGGACAAGATTCTATTTTCAGTTTATGCTAGTCCTCAAGAGCATCATAGGGTTGTCTGTTGGGAGGAACTTGTAACACCCTCATTTATATTACCTTGTTTTTAAAAAGAGAAAGTTTGATGCAGGATGTCTCGCTCAAGCAAGATAGAGTATTTTGAATCAGGCATTTTTGGGTACTCTCGCTCAAGCGAAATGAGTTTCACTCTAGCAAAAAAGGATAATATCACCTCAACTTTTCCCTCACCTTGGTTAACTGAGAATTTGGTGAGATGAAGGATGCTCACCCTCATTTATATTTAACATTATATATTTAATACAAGAAATTATTTAAATTATAATAAGGATGTTATAGAACTTGTAAAATCCTCATTTTTATTGCCTTAGTTTTTTAAAATAGAAAATTTAGTGTAGGATATCTCGATCAAGCGAGATTATTCTTTCTGGGCCACACATTTTTGGGCATTCTCATTAAGATAAGATGAGTCTCTCTTAGGCAAAAACAAGTAAGATCAACTCAACTGTCCTCTCATCCAAGCAAGAAGGCACAGAGAAAGGAGCTCTCTGGGACCAGGTCTTGCTTAAGAGAGGAGGGGTCTCACCTAAGCAAGATTATCAGAAAGGGTATAGATATTTTTTGTTTGGTGTTCTCACCCAAGCGAGAAGGGTCTCACTTAGGAGAGAATGGAGCTTTCTCAAATGAGAAGTCGCAGGTTAAAAAGAGTATTTAAGGAACTTTATGCCTTAGAACTTATATAACAAGCCAAATAGTTTTTCCTCACATTTCTCTTTGTTCTCTCCTCTTCTCTTCCTAGAGAAAACTCCTCTGAACTTCGAATCTCACTCAGATCCGAACCTGAACACCTATTTCATTTGATTTCAAGGTAGTTTTTTGGAGCTTAACTCTCCAACTTCACTCCTATTTCTTTATTTTCTCTTTCTCAAAAGTTCTCTACTTTGTAATATTTAGGAAGATCTTGGTCTTTCAAACTATATCTTCCATCCAAAATATTGTACCTTTTTTGAATCTCAAGAAGATTGTGATCTTATCAACCTATTTCCAAGTAAGGGGAGTTGATCCTAAATCCTAACTCCTATTTATGTGTTTTTCTTTAAAAACACCCCATTTATTTCTTATTTTGAATCATAGAACTCAAATATTTTTTTTTTTAAATCTCAATGTTAAGAATGAAATTTTGGGTATGAAAAACCTATGATTGTTTCTTTAAGGAGTTTCATGATTTTACTATTAATCATTATGTATGTAAAGTTAATATTATAAATTATTATTTTGAATAATATGTGTCCTGTGAATGATGTTAAACTTTAAGATAAAAGATTTTATTTAAAACTGAGATAGTGTGATATCCGATAATGTATTTATAAACTGTACGATTGGTTTGAGTCTGAAGGTGTCCGACCTTTAAAATATTATATTGATTTGTATGATGTGAAATTGGTTGCATGATATTTTGTATTCTCAAAAACTTGCACAAGATGTATAACAAATGTGTGGTACTAAATAATTATACAGTAATATACTTCAAATACTAGCACAAAAGATTCACATTTTAAATCATGAAATGTGGTTGGAGTTGAGTCTAGGGGTATTTGACCTCTAACAAATTGATGGTTTAACTGATTGAATGATATACAATGATTGTGAATCATTGTCTGAAAGTTGATACATGTTTGAAAATGGTGAATTTATATTATGATGAGAGAAAATTATAGAAAGAGAATTGATGTAAATGAGGATTTAAAGTTATTTATGTTATCAAAGTGGAAAGAGAAAGTACCAAGAAAAGATGTGTCATAAAAAATTGACTAAAATATGTATGAATAGTTATAGAGATACACTGGGAGTATAAAATATAGAGTCGATTGTGAAAATCTGAGAGAAATATAGAGTGATGAATGACATTTGCTTGTGTGTACACAATTTATTTGAGTGTGAATGCATCACATGGCTTCACACTCATTTCTTGACCAACACTCTTGACTATACTTTTGCTAAAGGACCTTATATTGTATACGTTGTATTTATATACAAGGGCTAACTGGCGATTATCTATACTTATAGAAGACCTTAAGGATCCTAGCGACAATGATTATGAAATCGTGATATGTGTGATTATAATACTGAGTCATAACATATTTATTGGTGTGATTATAATACAGGTATTGTAGTACATTGACAAGTGTAATTATAATATATGTATTGTAATGTATTGATTAATATGATCATAAAGCACGTATTATGATATACTGATCTATGAAGAATCTATGAAATAGCATAATCGAATCTACTTAAGGGTAAAGTATTGTACCTTAGTGACTTTTGAATGAAATGTTATATGAAAGAGTGATTATTATTTTAACATTTGCTTATTTTCAATTAATGTTTTCTATATTATTTGATTATTCTATGAATTAAGGAATTAGTGGGGTAGATAATATTCACCCTTACAAATTATTTTTAGAAAGTAAAATTGAAGAAATTAAAGAAGGTTGATTCGATCTAAAATCATATTTTTAGTGAGATTGTAAAGAAATTTTTTATTAATTTAAAGATTATAATAATTCTGATTGAGTTTTCATTTAAAGTTGATATAGATATATATAATTATTTTTATATTATTTATTTTAAATGTATAATATTTTGATAAGTTTTATTATAATTATTTATTTAAAATGTATATGTAATATTTGGTAATTAATTATTTTAATTATAGTTTATATTCAATTTTAGATAAAAATTTACTTTACTGAAAGACAATATTGTTTATATTTTAAAATTTATACGTATATGTAATATGAACTAAGTAAATTGTTAAGATATAAATTTTAGTTTTTATTTTTTTAATGAATTTAAAATTTTAAAATTATTTCTTTTAAATTTTTTTACATACCTTTAAGTTTTTATGAATTAAATAATAAAAATGTAAATTTTATCTTTTTCTTTATTCTTTAAACTATAAATATAAAAAAATTCACTTTATTTTTGTTCTTCATTATAAATTATTACTTATATGAATAAAAAATTAAAAATATTAAAAAATAATATTAGAACAATTTGTTCTAACAAACTTAAAATATAAGACTAATTCATTTATATTATGTGTTGTGTGTATTAATATTTTTATAGAACTTGAATATAAGATGAGTATTTATTAGTATGACTTATTTAGTATTACAAATAAAGGTTTATGTGAAATATTTTATTTATATATATATATATATGTGTGTTATGTTTATCTAAATTAAATAATGATGAGTAGAAGTAAATTAGTTAGAACGTCTAATGAAATCTTAACAAGTATGATACAAATATTAGAGATTTTAGTATATGTTTAAGAAATTAAATTAGATAAATATTATAAATTATTATTATTCATTAAATATTATTCTTTTAAGTTTGAAAAAAAATTTAATTTATTTCAAAGTTTAAAGAAAAGTTTAATACGAAAAGATTTTGGAAGTGAATTATAATATAAAAAAAAATTTCAATGCAATTCCACTCGGATAATTTTAAGAAATTAACTTATAATTCTTAATTATTTTTTAAAAATATTTTATTAAAAATAAGTAAAATAAATTATTTAAACATAAGTAAAATTTTGAAATTTATTATTAAAAGTTAATATATTATTTTTAGTTAACTTTTATTTTTATTCTATGGTTAATAATTAATTATTTTGAATACAAACTGTTACACGTAACTTTATATATTTATTTTATAATTTAATGAACACCAATAATTATTTTAAAATTAGTTTTTATCTAGCATATTCTAAACACATTATTTTATACAATAAACTTTTTTATAATAAACTATAGATACAATCGGTGAAATATGTTACTTTTTCGCAGCAAAAGCTTACCGTGCACATCGTCCATGGTTAACGATGCTCTCTAGGTGGGTCCCTCAGATGACGTTGGCTTTGTTGAGAAGAAAATGCGAATGGTACCCAAACTGTGCGAGTTTGCGGCGGTTTTCATCGATGCCCAAAGCTCCCATAGACATGGCCGTAAGAGATGGGGAACTGAGGCTCTTCCTCGTTGCCGGCGAAGTTTCTGGCGATTCCATTGCTTCTCGTCTCATGGCAAAGCTTAAACTTCTCTCCCCTTTCCCTCTTCGCTTCGCTGGCGTTGGTGGGTAAGTAAGTAAATCTACTCTTCGTCCTTCTCTTTGCCTTTTTTTCTTTTTAATATTGTTCAAATACCCCTTTTCAACATATTTTTTTTTATGATAAGTTTATTTCTTAAAATGTTAAACTACTTTCGATTCGTAATTGATCATTTTTTAAAATTATTTTGATATTTAAAAAATAAATAAATGCTTACCGGTATTTTGAGAACAATAGTTAAGTAAAAATAATAAAATTTTAAGAAAAATTTTAAATAATATACTTTGTTTTTTTAATTTTCAATGCAGTCAAATACAAATTTTAATAACAATTTTTTACTTACAATATTTTAACCAATGTCTGGGAGACTTATCACCTAATAATATATTTTTTAAATAATTTTGTTTATTTATTAAAAATCATAAAGATTGTGTTATTAGCAATTTTTTTCCTTAAAAAACGAAAAGAAAATAATTTTAATGTTTAATCAATTTCAGGGCTAAGATGGCCAGTGAAGGGTTGCAATCTGTGTTTCCTATTGAGGATATCTCGGTAATGGGACTTTGGGAGCTATTGCCACATTTGAATAGAATCAGAGTGAGTAACAAGTATTTTGTTTAGCGTTTTAGTATCAAAAACTATGGCAAGTTGTTTTGAGTCTGTGCTTGGAATTTGAAGGGCAAAAGTTGCAAATTGGAATTATTCCCCGTGAACAAATAAATGTAGCTGTCTAAACCTAGTATGAGAAAAACAATAAAATAAAAACACAAAAACAGAAGCTATGATTTTGAGTCTGTTTTCTGATAAGTCTGAGAATTTGTTCAATATTACATAACTGGAGTTTTCAGTATGAATATATTGGTTTTTCTAACTAAAACAGATGGATACAATACACGGACAGCAAATAGGACACAGCACAGCTATAATGTTGTTATGAAGTTGATATAAAATTAACATAAAACACATCTTAAATCAAAAGAGAGAATTGGCGTTTTAAATTTGAGTATGAATGGTTGAAAATTTAGTAAAATGCTACTATTTTTATTAGTTATTGCGATATTTACATTTGTTTTAGTATATTTGTTTAAAATTTGAAGGTAAAAAAAGTGTTAATAGATAGGGGTATTCGAAGTGTCCGTTAAGTATCTGAAATGGTTGTTTTCGAAACGGGTATGACACAACATAGCCAGTGTGTGTTATTCCTTGATTGCAGAGCAACTATAGCTTAGATATTTAGTTTCTACTTTTATTGCTGAAGGGGTATCAGGTCTCTTTTACCATATTTTGAATTACACTGGAAGCTTGTGTTTAAAAAATTTGATGTTACACATGTAAGGGTATGTTAATTTTCAGGTAAAACTGCAAGAAACAGTAGAAGCAGCTGCTCTATTTGAGCCTCACGTTGTATTAACTATTGATTCTAAGGGATTTTCTTTCCGGTTCTTGAAACAGCTAAGAGGTACAATTACTAATCGACCCAATTTGCAGGAATAACTGCAGCATATTTGTTTTATAGAGTTACAATATATACAAATGGGGAATGCCTATTGCAGCTAGATACAGGCAGCAAAAGTGGCATTTGCCAGTACACTTTCACTATGTAGCACCATCATTTTGGGCATGGAAGGGAGGTGAAGCGAGACTCGGAGGACTAGCAGAATTTGTGGATCATCTTTTGTGCATACTTCCGAATGAGGACAAAATATGTAGATTAAATGGATTGTCTGCAACATTTATTGGACACCCAGTGCTGGAAGATGTTCTGGAATTGAATTTGGTATGACTTGGAATATTTTTATAATGTTGTTACTAGCTTTATCATAAAGCATGCATGTGTTAATTAGTGATTTTAAGGATTGTTATGTATATATTTTATTCTTCTGTCTTACCTAGCAAAATTTTCTCATCTAGTTGTACTATAATGGTTTAGTTTTGTAAGTAAATGCTGGATATATTTTCAGAGAAACAAATCCTCAGTTCATGAATGGAAGGCTGAAGGAAATGGTGAAGACTTCCGAACTAAACATGCAGTGCCCTCAGGTACCTCTAATCAAATGAAGCTCCAAAACTTAACATACTTATCTTTAAGAAAGTTTACTAATTTATTGATTTTTGTACTCACTTGTACGATTTTATGTTTTAACATTTCATCAATTTAACGATTTTGCTTTTCTGCTCTCCTTCGGGATATTTGGTATAGCTTGATGTGCCAAAATCATGATTTTGGAGCAAAAGTTATTTTTAGTTAGAAAAGCGACATGAAATCAGTTATCTGGATATAGTTTTGCTATTTTGTTTGACATTAAAGTCGTAATTAGCTTTGTCTTCACATCATTTTTAACTTCAAAAGGGGCCACTGTCATTAGCTTGCTTCCTGGAAGCAGAGTACAAGAAGTCAGCCGGATGCTTCCCATCTTTTCAAACACAGTGGAACTGATGAAAGACATGGTTCCACAATTGCTGACGGTCATTCATGTTGCGCCTAATGAGCACGTGGAAAATTTCATTGCTGGTGCCATTCATAGATGGCCTGTGCCTGTAGTATTGGTTCCAGGTGGAACAACACAACTGAGATATGATGCTTTTAGTGTAAGCCCCTTTGTCCCACAATACTTCCATTTTAACTCATTTTGCCAAACCATGTAGAAGTAGAAAATTGGTTTAATACTTCTGATATAAACAGATGGTTGTGACAGTTGTTCTTATGGTCCATTATAGAATGTCTACAGACTCTAGCTTACTTAAGTTCTGGTGGACAGTTAAATCTAAACTTGCAATGACACAATAAATGTTGGTTTCCCAATAGTTCTCCGGCAATTCTGCTCTAATTGTTGCCTAAATTGAGTTTGGCCATTTTCTTCTGTTTCCTAGTCCCCTATGTATTCAATGTTAATAAATTCATTACAATGATCCTGTATTATATATAGAAGTGCAGGTGGTGTAGGTAAGACCAAAGTAAGATACCTTGTATGGCCTTGGATTTGTTTTTGATACGCCCAACTAACATTGTGAATATAGATAAATTTATTTTGACTACAGGTTTCATGTTCAACTAGGTGACCTGCATAAATTATTTCATATTATGCATGAAGACTGCATTTTGTACCTAGTTAATTTAAATTAACTGAATTTCAGGCAAGTAGAGTTGCGTTATGCACATCTGGGACTGTTGCTGTTGAGTTGCAGCTTGCACGATTACCTTGTGTTGTGGCATATCGTGCCCATATTTTGACAGAATGGTTTATTCAGTACAAAGCAAAGATACAATACATTTCACTTCCGAATATTCTTTTGAACTCAGCCATTATTCCTGAAGCACTCTTTCAATCTTGCAAACCGGCAAACCTAGCCTTGTTGCTCAAGTAAGGGTGAAATTCAAATTATCACTATTTCAATCGTAATTTGAGAAGAAATTGAATAACACAACAGAGTTTAAATGTCTCAATAGTTCAGAATTTATTAGTTGGGGGCAGTATTCCTCATTGGAATGTTTGACATTTGTTCTTGACTCTATATTACAGAGATTTAATACACGACAGCGGCTGTCGAGAAGAACAAATAATTGCAGCCCAGAAGTTTGTCAAGCTTCTATTGCCTTCAGAGAGAATGAAGTACAAACTTCCACAACAAAATTCGAGTACATATACTGACTACAGCCCAAGTGCAGTTGCAGCATTGACTGTATTAAACTATGGGAAGTAAATGACTAATATCTAAGGACATTTGTTCTGCAAAAATATTTATTGTCACTCGTTATTTAAGTATTATTATTATTAATTTAATTAACCAATAAAAAGAGTATTTTACATAAAAATGATTTAAAGAGGAGTGACAATAGGCATTTAACTTGCAATAGACTCTCCCTTTTTCTATGATGGCTCTGGCATTGAATTTTTTCACTACTAAGGTTGAAGGTTTGAAGCTGGAGACAGTTAATACATAGACAACATAAACATGGATTTGCTATGTTATGTGTTAAACAAGCAGTCTGACATGCAAATCAGTTACTTGCTAACATCGGAAGAAATATGTTCTTTTTATAGCTAACTGATAAAAGTGGCTCTCAAAAGAGAAGAATCTATTTAGAGATAATCATCAGTTGTAAAAGCACTGCACTGAATTTTGCTTCAATAGTCTCAAATATTCCTTCTATTGCTGCTACTGTGCTTGCATTGATTCACAGGAGTACAATCTTTTTTTATGAAATTGTTATTATCTACTTTTATGCATAAAATGTGAGTCATTATTCTTAAAGCAGAGTGTTGTTAGGAATTATTTTACGAGGTAATTTCCTTTCTAATTGTGCCATGACCATGGTAGTCAAAATTGCAAGTTAACACATAAGATTGTACGCTTGTACGATCTGCCACAAGTCCAACGATCTTCATCCTGGACTGGAGCACATTTTGGTGGGACCACATGATCTTTCATGTGAAATTGTGCGATCTTGAGTGAGTTGCTTTCTGCCTTTTCTTTTTTTATATAAAAAAAATCTGATTGACCTAATTTGACTTGTCTATTTTTATTTGACTTGATGACTTATATACTCAAGCTTTTAAGTTTTTTTTTTTCCAGTCTTCTTTTTGATCTCACATCTTTGCAACTTGCGAGTCATATTCTCTTCTTCCTTGACGCTAAGAGTTTGTTCTCTCCATTCTCTACCCTTTTCTCCTTCAAATTGTCTCTTTTTTCACCATTTTTGGACACGACTAGGACTTGAGGGTGATTGAATAATGGGTTGGTTCAGTGCGTTGCAAGTGGAAAAGGTGTACTTACCTCTATTTTGATTTTTCTACTCTGTTTCAAGATGTCTATAAGTGGGAAAGGTGTACTTGCAAGTGGGAGAAGACAACCAGACAGTAGAAGAGTGGTTCTAAGTTTGACCATTGGTAATACTTCAACTAGCTCAATGAGCAGCTCTGTTGGTGTAGCTGTGGCTAGTTCTTTGTGAAAAAATGCTTCTAGAAACAGAAATGATGTGGCATGGTAGCATGGAATATCAGTGGATGGAGAAGCAAGAAAAATATAATGCAATTATTGTAAAAAAAATAATAAGTGGTGGAGTTTACTCTAACACCCTAATTTTTATTTGTATTTTTGTTTTCAAAGTGGAAGAGTTCTAAAAAAAAGTGCTTTTAGCTCAAGTAAGAATGGATAAGAATTGTTCATCTGTATTCTAGCTCAAGCGAGAAATATCTCGCTCAAGCGAAAAATAGCTAGCTCAAGCAAAAATGAGTTCACTCAAGTGAAAATATCAACAAATGTGTAGAAGATTTTTTTAGTTTTTTTTTGCTTAAACAAGAATAGCCTCGCTCAAGTGAAAATCCCCGAGAAAAGGGGGTATTTAAGTAATTTTGACATTTTTAAACTTAGATTACAAGGCAAGTAACTATTTTCATTTCGCTCTCAATTTTGTCACTCTCTTCCATCACTAGAAAACACTGTTACACTTAAAACCTCTCTTGAATTCGAACTTGAACATCTTTTCCTCTTGATTTCCAATAAGTTTTCTTGGAGCTTATACTCCCAATCTCATTTCTACTTCATCATTTTTCTTTCTTTTCAGAAGTTACTCTACTTTGTAATACTTAGAAAGAAGTTGGTCTCTCGAATGATATTTTTCATAAAACCTTATGTGAATCACATTAAGGTAAGGAGAGTTCTATCCAATCAACAAAGCTATACACATACGATGAGTGTGACTGTATATATATATATATATATATATATATATATATATATATATATATATATATATATACTCTTTGCGTCTATGAATAGTTACATTCTTTTATCTTAGTTTTAAAATGGATGACATATAATTGATTAAAATACACAATTTGATTAACTGAATGATGAGAAATAAATGGAGTAAAAATATGTGATCAGTCAATATGATGATGAAAAGAATTAGTGTAGATAGTTACAAATATACAGTAGGAGTATGGAAGATAAAGTTTGAGTTAGGTGATGAATGCTATTTGTAGTTGCGTGTAAATTAATGAGAGTGAAAGCATTACGGGCCATACACTTATTTCTTGACTCATATTCTTGACCATACTTTTGTTAAGGGGCTATGTTTGCACATGTATCTGTGTTACAAAGGCTAACCAATGACTATCCATACATATGGAAGACCTTAAGGGATCCAAGAGTAATGGTTGATTATGTTAAGGACCTAAAGAATATTCAAAATATTAAAAAACTATGATCACAATGTATGAAAATTTGTAAATGCATATAGTTAATGTATTGGATAGTATGATTATAGTATATGTATGATGAAATTGTCATTGTGTGAGTTGTGAAATTATCAATTGATTACTTAGTTAATAAAATGGTGAGGAGAAGACTCATCCTTACTAACATTTTTAGGAAATAAGGATGACCATCACTTAGAGACTCATTAGATTGACTAAGTCGAGTATTGTGAATAGGTTAAATGATGTATTTAGAGAATGACAGAGTCTGTCACAGAGTCTATCACAATAAATTTGTAATAGATAGTGCAAATAGATTTGATGATGTATTTACTATATATATATATATATTACAGTAGGGTATAATGTTCCCTTTGATTACCCAACTAGTGGTAGGATCTATCATACCCAAGAAATATTAGAACACTAGCTGCAATGAATTACGTGTACACCTTTTATGACCACGATCATATGGGAAGATCAATTAGATTTAATAGAGAGTAGATAACTAGTATATAGGTCACAATTGACATCGGAGACCAATATGATGAAGACTAATAAAGTGTCATATTTTAGTAGTTGTCAATGTATATTTTGACACTTATTTGATTCTTTTTCACATAGTTTGCACTTAAATTTCATGCAATTTATATTTTAATGTATTTAAGTTCATATCATTTAAATTCAACAACTTTAGCCTTAATTTTGTCAAATAATGGAAGATATTTGATCCATTTTTTTTGTGTGAATTCTTTTAAGGGCAAAGGCTTGATAAGGTGTTTACATTTATAGCTTTATTATGTCTTCAAAACACTTTTCATATTCCTTATTTTTATCATTTCTCATTAATAGAAATGAATTGGGCTTGTTATGCATGAATGTTGTAATTTCGTATTTTCAGCTAATTTGACCTCTATAAACTCTTTTGGCTATAACTCTTTATATAGATATTATTTTTGGTTAATTCCAGTTGCATTGGATTCTACACATCTAGGGGCTTTAAAATGCATATATGGTTTGTTGGAATTGAAGTTGGTTTTTATATTTTATGATTTTTTGAAGATGAAGCAAATTTGTTGAAATCGCCTAGATTTTCAAGTCTCGCTCAAGCGAGAATTTCCTCACTTGAGTGAGAAATGCAGAATTTAGACTAGATTTTTTGCTGGTTTTCTTGCTTAAGCGATAATGGCCTTCACTCAGGTACTTTCAATAAGAAATAAGAGATCAAAGAGCTAGACCACCAAGAAGAACTCTTAGGGATTATGCAATGGAGTAGGATTCAAGATACTTTCAAGAATCGCGGCTGAGTATTAAAGAGAAACTTCTAGAGCAGAATAGAATACCCACTTAGTAAATTGCATCCTTAAGGGAACAATTGTCTTCAACCTAAGTATACTAGAATAAGGAAGTCCACTACATGGGGAATCCTAGCCACTATAGTGACTTTGCACAAGAATGGGGACTGAATTAAGACATAAACTATAGTTGGAGACAAGCTCAAGAACAATACAATCAATAACCTTATAGCTTAGAACAATCTAATCAGCACCACCAATTTTTTTGGAATCATCACTCATAAGCACAACTGCAGCCAAACAAGAATTCAAAGTTGGAAGACACCTTAAATCAATAACTACATATGTTAGAAGACACCTTGAATGAGTGAAAGTTCTTCCCTTTTGCATGTATGCCTTTAAATAGAAATTGTCTTATTTTTTCCCTTCCCAAAAGAACCTCACGGATGATCCCTTTCTCTCACAAGTGTTGAGATTTGATTTTGTTCTCTTTTTTACTTATTCCAGAAGCCTAAACATGTGCACATTTGTAAAAGTCCAAATTGCCTTTTAATGATTTTTGTCCTCCTAGTTAGGTTTAGCTTTCCTAGTTCCATCCTAATTATTTTAATTACTTTTTGAAACCTATTTAGTTCAAATCCAATGGCTATAGTCATGGTTCAATTAGATCCACTGGATGAAATTAATTCAATCCTTAACATAAATTACTCATCATTAACCTTATCTCCTTAATGATTACTTTGTTGACTTGACTTTATTGGTTCTTGTAAAATATAATCATCTAGCTGAGATTAAGCCATAATTAATCTTATCCCTTAATCATGATTAGTCTCACATGGGCTTTAATGAGCCATATGGCTCATTTTTACTATTTCTTGCCCACTTTCCTTTATTTACACTTGATTTTTGGGTAATTTATATACGGTCTTTGGTCTTTGTACTTGCACGTCCATAACATCTATATATGGGCTATCCACCATAAAATTTTTAGAATTTATCTCATTCATTTGCTTGTTCAAAATGAACCTTCATTTTAGGCATTTCTAGAGATATTTTAGTTATTTTGGTCAAATTTTGTAATTCTATTTATTTTATATTTTTGAATCTTTCTAGACTTCTTATAATTCATATAAAACCATTCTAGATAGTCTAAAATTATTAAATAAAATTTTTGGCCATTTATTTCTTTTTTATATTACTTGATTCTTTGCTGATTAGACCTATTTTGATAAATTTTGCTAAAGAAAATTTTAGTTCTCAAGTCTCTATGTATTACTTATTTTTAATTCAATGTGATTAACATAATCTAATAATAATTTATAAAGTGAGAGAAAATTTGAGATGTCACACAAGACCATAAGTACGGTATACATGTGACTTAAAGCAACATTATGTTGACTGCTAAGGTCTAAGTATGTTGACCGTTGCGAAGCTCTTTTTTTCAACTAATTTGGACCCAAATTACACCCAAAATTCCAATTATGTCTTATAACGTAAAATTGCACAATTAATGTATAAATTAGTGCAAAATCTAAATAAAATAATTATCTCACATAAATATATAGGTTATAAAAGCATGCCAAAATACAGACTTATCAACCCTCTAATACTTGCGATTTGCTTGCCCTCAAGCAAAGTCCTAGATAAAAATAAAAAAATAACTTAAAACAAATAATCACAAAAAGAAAGGGAAAGTGGAGGATAATTAAAATAAAAAGAAAATTTAAGCTT